ATGGTCATTATTCAGAAAATACTACAAATCTGACCATAACACAAACATCATCACAACAAAGCCAATTTTATGTAACATTATTTTGCTGCAACATTTAACCTAATTTAGAGGATTGTATAACGAAGCTGGCATGTCTCTCTATATGTAAGATTTTTTCAAAGATCAATAATAGCTTAACATTGACATGAGTGAACTGTTGAGAACAAGTTACCAAAATTGTTGTGATACCACTTATTAATTCGGAGGTGATGCAAAAATTGAGATTTAATGACACAATATGAAATATGTGATGTAGATAAGATCACAACGAAAAAAAAGATTAAAGTAAAGCAATTGAAGAGAAATTAGTAGAGGAATCGATTTTTTATTCTAAAGAATATGGAGAAAATACAAGGAACTAGGCAATAATGTTTGACCTAAATTGAATGAACAACGACATATTTATAGGGACATACAAAACCCTAAAAATGTCGAGAAGATGGAAAAAATAAAAAAAAATGTGAAATAATATATTTTCAATAATATTACGTGAAAATAAGGAAATAATATTTTCCAATAAAATCACGGGAAAATAAGGAAACAATATTTTCTAAAAAAATAACCTAATTTGGGGTACAAAACTTAACAATCTCTACCTTGACCCAAATCTAGGTGCAACAAACAAAGCTCCAAAATTTCTCTACCTGGAAAAATATGTTCGACTGCATCAAAATAACCAAAAAATTTAAAGAAACCCCAACTTAAAATCAAAATGCATATGAGGAAACATAAACTGATAGTCACCATCGAAAAGTCGAGACAAGAAACGGAATACCATTGGTACAAACAAATAAAACATCAACTAAACAAGCTCGAGCTGCAAGCACATGGGCCGCATTATTCCCTTCACGAGGAATAAAGTGACGAGAAAAAACCAACCCTAATTTTTTAAAAAGTCATAGGAAGTCACTCTCCACGTCGTCAATGTGAATTCCAGCCTGGTGCGCCATGAGCCGATCACCCTGGTTATTCTTTATAAGATAGCTGCAATCACCGTTCCCAAATCATCTCTAATCAAAGCCCCCACACCATGAACCCTTCAACCACCCGTACCACTGCATCGGAATTGAATTTACATCAAATTATATTTAACTGCCACTGTCAAATATACGTTTTTGAGTTCTTTTATTATAAAGTATTATTTTTATGTGTTTTGCATAAGTTTCAAGAGATCTTGAATTCGGGTTCAGAAAAACCACCAACCAACCTAATCTCGACCCAAAACTTTACATTTACTTCGGTTGCCGCAAGTCTTCTCAACCCTACAAACGAGAAGGGTGGTGGTATTATATTGAAACTTTCTCATCCAACTCTAAGAACCGGCTGCCTCTCCTCACCCTCTCTATTGCCTCACCCCCACACACACCACGACCACCTATGCTAAGAGTAAATGGACCAACGCACTAACCAAACCATAAATCCAACTACTACTTGGACTCTCCAAAAGTGTTGCTCGTTTCTTGATCGAGCCAAGCCTATGTTGTTGATAAATTATCTGACATCTATTTTAAATCATTGTCTGAATTTATTGGGTATCAAAATCCATCACTTTAATTTGTATAACTGACAATCGAGATGACTCAAAAAATTTGGGACCTAGACAAAATTGCCCAAGGACCTTTTTCAAGAGCAATAATAAAAATTAGTGCAGGAAATGCTTGGTGCCTGCCATTTCAAAGGTTCGTTCACGAGTTTGGCATCTTGGTCACAAGGGTAGCACTGTGAAAGCTGTCAATTTTCTTTAAATTTCTATGATTTAATTACTTAGCTTTAGCATTCTATAAGGCAAATCGAAACTTTTTCTTTCCCTGATAATTGAAAACTTATTATCGAATTAAGTGGATCTAACAGGGTCTATTAAATTTGCAGAGAATTATATTTTATTGTACATTTTCTCTTCGACTGAACATTTAAATAAAACTTATTACATAATTGACTCTAAATTTATTAAAAATATGAACTTGTTAGGTTGTGTTTCACTTCCCACTTCCCACATAGTTCATTACTTATAAATGTTTCCTAAAATTTAAGAGTACTAAGTGTCTCACTTTCTTTCGCAATGTATAATTCCACTCACGATAGATGTCATCTATTTTTCGGTAAGACTTAGTTTTTCTTTCTTATTTTTGTCCCCCTTTCTGACACTTAAATTTGCTATTTCGCTATAATAATTGAAATGAATCCTCACCCCTCCTATTTAATGTGTACAACATTTGATGACCACAAAAATAATCCTCATTTTGGGATTAACAAAGTGCAACACTGTTCAAGGATTTAAGGGTCCATTTGATAGCATTAAATTCCTTGAAAAATGTCACATTCGAGGAATTCGTTTACTACTTTGGCTGGTTGATACGTTAGTGGAATTGAAATTCAAATTTCAAGGTACAAATACTTAAAAACATGTTTTTGATCAATTGAGTAGAAATCGAATTCTTATGGTTTTGGTGGTTTTTTCTTTTCCAATAATTGATTTGCCTTTTCCACTTTTACAATCAAACGGACCCTAAACTCTTTTCTTCTCGAAATGAGTATGTTGGACCAAAGTAAATTGAAAAATAAACATACGATATTTTATTCAACTTTGGAACTCTTATCTGGTCAAATGAACTTATTACATTATATTGGCACGTTTTTCATTTTGAATATGTGCAGATTATGATAAGAAGATAGACATTTTAAAATTTATTAAACCTTGTGACTTTTTCTTGTTAATTTGAGTATAATACAAATTTACCATGTTGAACTAGACTTAATGTGTGTTAGGAGAGCTTTTTTGAAGCCCAAAAACACTTCTTTAAGGTAATTACTTTTTGATTTAAAAAAAAAAACAATTTTGTGTCTATAATATAATATCTATGAAAAAACTATATGCAACCTAAAGAAGTTTAAAATATAAACTCTAATTAATTGGAAATTATTGATAATCTTATGGCAGTTTGCTAGGCAAAGTATAGGAAAGTTAGATTGAATTATGTAATGAAATAGACATTATAAATTAAAAACTTGCATTTTATAATCTCTTATAACAAATCATTGACTACTTTGTACACCCAACAGTTTCGTAGCACTTAAATCACACGTTTTTTTTTTTTTTTGTCTGTATTTTTTTTTTTTTTTTTTTTGACTTTAGAAGTCGCTTTCATTCTCATCCTTCGAAAAAAAATAAAAAAGTGATACATTTTAAACAGTATTTTCACATCATTTCAACCACACATTCTTCAATAAAATAATATTAAACGCAAATTCAAAATTTTTTCTTATTTTTTAACTACACATTTTACATCAATACACTATTTAAAAATTCATTTTTTCCTTCAAAATGGGGCTAAAAAAAGGGCTTAATTACAAAATGTCATCCGAATCAAACAAGCTCAACTCGAAGTGTACTAATAATTCCGTAACTATTGCCAAAAGTGATTGATTTGCAGTTTTGTAGGCCAAAGCGTGTGGCAGCTGCCATTCTTTTATTATTTTTACTTTTATTGCGCACAGTTGAGAAAAAAGAGGAAATTGCTCCCAATTTCAGATTCAATTAATCTACTTGCACAAAGTAGGTAGACAAAGTTTGGTAACAAAATAGGTGTTGGCAAGATTTAGGTCATTAATTTGTTTTGATTTCAAAATCTGGTTTTGAAATGAGTGATATAAATATTGTCAATTTATGTTTTGTCAATGTCTTTTGTCAACATCCTTCGTACACATAGCATCACTATTTGAGATTTAAGGTTTCTTCTTGCTTAGTAATAGTAACTTCATATTTAGTCTACGTTTGATCTCTATTATTTGAGATTATAATCTTGAATATTATTTTTCTGAAAAATGTATGGTTAAAAAAAAAAAAAGTTTTAGATTTACATTTAATGTTATTTTATTAGAGAATGTGTAATTAACAAGAAGATAGAAAAATAAATTATAATTTTAACGGGGGCCAAATGATTAAAACCTGTGAATAAAAATAACTCTTCTAACTCGCCATCTATAAATCTTTAGATGAAGTAATTCAACTGATAATTAAAAAAATTATAATAAAAATTTACTAATTAAGAATATTGAAGATTATATATATCTCCCTTCCTAACAAATTAATCTTTTAAAAATACGGTGCTTCAATTTATATGGCTAGTAATGGAATATTTATATTTTAAAGAGAGTAAGAAAGTATTCTCTTGATTATGAGAAATATAATATCTAATGCACGTCTATTTAATAATTCAACAAGTATATTTGTTCTAAAAAATCACATGTTAGTATTTTACAACAATTTATCACGCTCTTTCCACCAAAAAATATATATGCTTTAAAATGTCATATTGGTAATAGGCATACAAACAAATTGGATTGAAACAAATCTCTTTCAATCATTTTAAAGTGGTGATTTTAAGTATTCAAGTCTGAATATAAATAAAGGAGGACCTGAAGATGATGTAAGGCATGATTTAAGATGGTATAAATAAAGTATTACGTAAATTTTGTGTGGGAAAAAAATGTGCTTTACAAAATGTTATATTAAAAAAAAAAAAAACACCGTATTGAGCAGTTTAAGAACGTGGCATCTGTAAGATGAATGTACTTATAACAAAGGAGGACGTATATGCATAATAAAATGGAGAAGATAAGAAATGAAAATATACAATCGAAGATAAATTAAGGGATGATTAGACTTAAATGGTTAACAAAACGTATGCTAACACAATCATAGTAGAGATGACATATCAAAACTAACAAGACGTGTCACAGTTATTGGGGATTTTTTTTCTTTGACTCTTTTGGTAAATCTAGTAATAAATCGAACGAAGTGGCAAAATAGTTTTATTCAATTTACGCTACTCACTTCAATTTTATTGAAAATAAACCTTAGTTTTTTTTGTTGATGTCCAAACCAAGCGTCATTTAAGACACACATATCTTGATTATTTAAGATTGTATAAACCACATATCATCATAACTTCACAAGCAAGTACAAATCGAACATGATATGTGCTTAGTTTTTATTACTCAAGTCTATAACATAGTATGGTCATTATTCAGAAAATACTACAAATCTGACCATAACACAAACATCATCACAACAAAGCCAATTTTATGTAACATTATTTTGCTGCAACATTTAACCTAATTTAGAGGATTGTATAACGAAGCTGGCTGCAATTGGGACTGAAAGGTTCCAACACTCCATGGAAAAAGTCCTATTTCATCATTTACTGCAAATGGATTATTATTCATTCCTTCAAGATGAAACATATTAAAATTTGGTTGAATTTCTTCATGGATTTTGATCTTTTTTGGTGCTCGAAATTCATCTCCAAATCCCTTTGTTTCAACTTCAGAATCAGATTCAAATTCCTTCTCATTTGATTGATCAGATTCTTCACTTAGACAAGGCATTGATAGTGCAGAAGAATAAGGCTTCTTTGGCATAGTACTGGGTGCCCGATTCTTGTATTCCTCAAAGATACGATCCATAAATCTTCCTTGTGCTTCAATTTTCATTTTCAAGCTCTTTTGAACCTATAGGAAAGAGTAGAAAACGAAAATGCTACACATAATGTCTCAAATTTTATTTTTGGAACATTTCAGTTGCGTGGTGATCAATACAAGTCATGAGATATTCGCATGCTGATTCGATGATTTTTTCTTAGCATTTGAATCTCAGTTACGAGTGAATGAATTCTGATATTGGTTTTGTAAAGTACAGTTACCTCAATTTGATCGTTCCATCGTCTTTGTGCTTCCATTTGCATTCTTAATGCTTCATTTAGCTGAGCACCTCTACAACAATATCAGTATAAATATACTACTAACATGATCAAAACACAAATATTCACATCATAAACAAGAAGTCTCACGATTTTGTGCTAAAATTTGGTAGTTCCTCTGATATACTTCTTCGCTCAATCTTGACGACTACATGTCACAAGATATAAAATTTTATATTTTGACAATGAGAAATTTGAGAAAACAAGAATTAAGTTGACTCACTGTGGCCACCTTCGGGGGTAAATATTGACATCCTGTATTTCTGTGAGAAAAACGAATTAAGGACTCAGATAATGTTTACATTATTTTTCAAGGAGACATGGATACATAAATTAATTACAAAATGAAAAAATAAATTCTAATTGTTTGCTGATATAAGCAGTACGAGTTGAATCACAAACCTCGTGAGATTGACTAGTTTCCTATCTATCGTTGATGAAAAAATAGTGTTGCATGAACATAATCCCACATGGGATGTGGACGTCCGAATTCATAAATCGCATTTGATTGGTACTACTTTGATAATATTTTACCTTACTTCGGGTACCCCCAAAAAAAAAACACACACACACACATACACACACAAAGTCATATTCCCAATAATTTTATCCCTTTTTTTTTTTTTTTTTTTTAACACTATGTAGAGACGGGTGTTGGAATATGTAATGACTAATCATACTTTTCCTCTACCTGGAGATCGCATGGTGGCTGTAAGCCTCACAGTTTTGTCCTGAGGCGAAATTTTTATTATTGCTTTCCTAATTATTGTCTCTTAAAACTAAAGACTATAATCCATAACAAGTTGCATAATCCATGTGTGAGAGAGAGAGAGAACCTGTAAGTGGCTTTTCACATGAAATATGGTTAATCCAGGAATTGCCATTGCTTTCAGAATTCCTTTTGGTGTAGCCCCTGGATGATCATACAGTCCACGGAGAAATTTATTAAGCCATGCAAAACCAGTTAACTTATTCATAATTTTCGATAATCACACGTACTTTCAGGCCCTCCTATCTGATTAACTGCTTTCTCGAACAATTCGTGCAATTCATTCGTCCATTTCAACCGCTCCTTTGAAGCGCCAGTCGTCCGACTTGAGCTCATGTTGCAACTAGGCGACCTTGCAAACCTGCCAGGCAAGGAATGAGCAATAGTGTTCTGCTCCACTTAAAAAGACTACGTTAAGATAGAAACAACACTACAAAAAGCAATTTCCTGGAAAGATACGAGCAAGAGATTGTTAATAATATACGTAAATAGATACCATGAAATGTCTGTCTGTAATTGACGGAGCAAACCAAGATAAAAGAGCCCAAATTTCAAGCTCATTTTCTCTTGTTTACATCACCTGGTGAAAAAACCTAAAAATCACAACAGAGACATGCATCAAAATGTGTCGCCTACATCCCTAATTTTGCTGCTTGCACCGTATGAAAATCTTCAAAAAACCCAAATATATACAAGCCAAAAGAGGGAATGGATCTAGGCATATATCACTTGCCCGAGTCCGCCCATGGAAACATGACATGCAAACGACATAATATTTAGAACATCTCAAGAAATCAAGTTCGTTTATACTAGCTTTATAATATAGGAATCAAGCACGAAATTGAGGAGACAAACTTCATCCTCACTGCAATCAACTGTTACAAGAGAGATCCATTACAATTACAAAATAGTAGAAAGGTGACATTGCTATACTAATTCGTCAGCCATGAACACTACAAATCCTCAGTTGATTTAGTAACAAATCACTACTGCCTGTTTCGCTTCGTGCAAGATGGACATTTGTATTGCTTTATATTCTCGGCTTTAGCAGGAGTTATTTTCACGCATTTCCCATGGAACCACCGCTCACAAATGTCACAGCCAATCCAGAACTCGTCTGCATCATAATTTCCACCGCAGCTTCCACACAGTGTTTCGCTATGCTCATCGTCCTCCTCCTCATAGCCTTCATCTGCCAGTTTGGGGGTGCTCTTCACCTGACCATCACTAGATCGCTGCAAATAAAGACAAAAGGAATTGAGCTAAATCAATTGAAGGTGCAAGAGCATCAGACATCGTGATCATGAGAAAGCTCAAAAACTAAACGAAATCCTTAAAAGAGGTTGGGGTACAAAAAGACATTGCTTCAGCCAAACCCTGTTTTAACTATCAGTACATAAATCTTCTTTTGAAATGTAAATTAATTCCACTGTGCCTTCACCCAACCTTAGGTTTGCCTCAGGAACAGAAAGAACAGAATCCAACAAAAATATATCCATAGTGGAACACAGATATGCTTGAGCCAACCCTACCTTTTTGCTGCCTCGAGATCTGCTTCCGTTATCTGCAGTTGGCTTGTCTTTTACAGGTTTCCTTTCAGTCACAACTTCAAAGACTGTGGGCAGATCATTGATCAAGCTGAAAAGGCGCTTCCTGAAAGAACAGAAAGAAATATATATATTTAGATGGATCCTCATAATAAATCACAGGCCACAAGTGTGGTAGCCTCTCTGGAAATGCACATCCCAAAAATGAAAATCAGTAAATAGATTTAATTATAATTGATGCCAGTAATTCATCTCTAATTAAAACTTAGCAGTCCTAAATGATTGCAAAAACAAGCAAAAAACTGCTGGCTACACGTATCAACACAAAAATACATGATATCAATACTTCAGAATACCTATTGTCTTCACTGGACTCCTGGCTACACATCATATGATATGCACAGGGGCAAGGAGTAAAAGCATTTTATTAAAATCATTTCAATGTGTTCAACTGTTCAAGTTCCTACATACTTCCCCCAAACTGTAATTCAGAGACAGGTCCCGGGTACATATGTACTGCTACAAAGTTGGTTCGACTGCAAAAAGCAAAAGATATAGATGGTGCCATCAAAATCTTGAGCTTGAAACACTTTCGAAGCTTGTGCTCAAAGTAAGAAAATTATTGGTATATTATTATTATTTTTTTTTTTTTTTTTTAATAAGCGTGGGTGACCGGGCCAGCTTACACACACCTCAACTAATCCCACAGGGCACTAATGTTTACAGCCGAATACTCACCTCAATGGCCCTGGGAGAACTCAAACTGATAACCATTAGAGAGCAAACTCAAAGTCTGACCACTGAATTACCCCTCATGATTGAATTATTGGTATATTATGGAACAAATTAGATAGAAAGCATTCCAATGACAGTATCAGACTTGCATAAATGATAGATAATTTGAGGCAACGCCATTGCTACTATCAAGATTCTTTTAAAAGTGAATGTATTATGGCAATAATTCATTCATGTATATTTTTCTCAATAGAAGTTGTATGCCTGCCGCTACAAGCAACCTTGTATCACGTGTAGACAAAGAGTGTGTGTGTGTGTGTGTGTGTGTGTGTATTATTATTTATTTATTTTTATTTTTTAATGACCGTGAGTGTCTAGGCCAACTTACGCGTATCTCGATTAATTTCATGGGACCCTAAAATTTACAATCGACTACTCACCTCAGTGGCTCTGAAGGGGGCTCGAACTGGTGATCACTGAAAACTAAACCCAAGGTCTAACCATTGTGCTGTCCCTCAGGGTTAAACAAAATATAAAATATAAATCAATAGAAGGTGAGCAAAATACGGTAAATCAAAAATTTTGATGAGTTTGGGTTAAATACAACTTAAAGTTGATCCTCTCCAAAGACTTGGCTCGCTCTGTTGTCACATCTGACAAAGTTCACTTCCCCAGGACCAAAAAAATATCAATGCAAGGAAGAGTTTCAAACACATATATCTAACATGACAAATTAGCAATGCCTAAATTTTAAAGTCAGCTAACTGCAGAGATATGTTGATCTATCCAGGTCCAGTTTCCCTTCATCATAATAACAATGGCCAATCATGGTCCACTAGAATGAGAAATTGTAAGATGAGAGAAAAGTAAGAATGCGCAATTTTTGAGCTTCGTTTGAGAAATAACGAGGAGGTTTTCTCTTTGACATCATCAGTTTAAGCAAACAAGTCTTTAGCACTTCGTGTATCACCACAGTGTGCATGATAGTACTCAAATCCTGACCTTAGTTTCTGCGAATAACAGTCCAAATTGGTTTCTCTACTTTTGTAAAAAACCAAATTGGTTTCTTTATTATGTTACAACCATGTCATAGGCTCCTTAAATCATTTGCATCTTTTGGTCCCTAAGAACAAGCAATTTATGTAGCATCATAGAGATCCCTTGAAATGTGCATATTTATACAACCAAATCTATTTTAAGCAATCACAGAACAGATAATATCTATCAATCCCCACTTAGCATCACCACCTCCAATGTTATCAAATTTTAAACGATAATAGGAAAAAAAACACTTGTTGTCGGAGCTTTATATATATATATATATAGGAAGTGGTGAAATTATTTGCACAAAGTTAGTCAACTGCATCCTCACAATCTATGATGCAATGACATGAATGTGTGTCCAACACGATAGTCAGACACGTCGTCATGCAATTTTCAAAAAAAAAAAAAAATATTGACATGACACATCGTCGACAGGTAAATTAAATTATTCATTTATATAGTATAATTTTTTTATGCTTATCATTAATTTTTCTTGTTTAAATCTTTTAAATAAGAATACCTATTTATTATTTAATAAAAAAATTTTAGTTAAAAATATAAAATATTATTGATAAAGAAATAAAAATGACCGTGATAGAAGTTTTTGTGCAACATATGCGGATAATTCACTTATCGGCATTGTTACTTAACGCGTGAAAGGAAATTAAAACATGAAAAAAAGGATAATTATGCGCTTTCTTATCTTTCTGTAGAATATCTAATAATCCGACAATACTTATGTGCCCTCAAACTATACCAATATAACCCCTAATCCATAAGACCTAGAGAATTCTAATGATGGGATCCAAGGCACGCAACCAGCTATCAAGAGTTTGATGTATGTTGAGGAGACGCTAAGGGCAAATTCGAGATCAAATAGAGTCCATGAAGCCATTCAATCGTCCAACCTACGAAGTCCAAAAGGGTGAAATTAACAAGCCTAAGACCATGTTTCATGTTGGGCGTGGGCGTGGGCGTGGGCGTGGGAGTGGGAGTGGAAGTGGAAACAAGTTGTAATACATTTGAATCAAGAACTCAAAGTTGGAAGCAAGAGGGACTACTATGCAACAGCATAGCACAAACCTGAGTGCGACCGCACATACCCATGCAGTAACCAAATTGAAGGTGGAGGAATGGCCTATGCAACCGCACCAAATAAGCCTATGCGGCCACATAGAGTAAAATTGGGACGTATTTAACCAAATTTTGCCTAGACTTCTATTTTAGTTAAAAACTCTTTTTATGGTATCTGTTTTACATCTTTTTTGTTAAATTCCGTCTTAATTAAGGTTTTTATGAGTTACCTATAAATATGACTCACTCTTTTTTTTGTAAAAAATAAAATTTGAGAGATAATATTGAGAAGCATATTTGCTTTTAACTTGTTCTTCATTGAATGAATTTTCGAAATTATCAAGGATTAATTTCTTGTAGCATTCAACAATTTAAGTAAGATTCATAAGTTTTATGATCACAGGGTCAAGATATTTTTTGCATTTGTCTTGATTCTTTGGTTCAATAATTTATCGAGTCGATCTTTTCCAAACCTTGATTCTCGGCTTTCTTGGGTTTGATTTAATTTATTGTGGGTTCCGTAGCTTGAATTACTACATGGGTTCGCATCATCTACTTAATTGATTATTCTGACTTCAAAAACCTTTGATGCTCGGACTCTTCGAAATGGTTGAAGTGCCTGTGTTGTGCATAGGTATAGAATATGTGTCGGATCCTCCAAATTTCGATCGGGCATGAAGTTTTTGCTTCTTCTTTCCCTTTTTCTTTCCTTTTTCTTCTTTCCCTTTTTCTTCTTTCCCAATTATACTCCATCTAAACTTAGCACCACCGTTGAGAGGGTGGATAAAGGCGACGGAGCTAGGTTTTTCTTCTTCTTTCTTTTTCCCCCTTTTCTTCTTTTTTTCCTTCTTTTCCTCTCTGTATCAATGATTTAAAGTTTTATTTGTATAAAATGAAAATAGGTTCTATAGAATACCCCATAGTGCTCCACTAAGTTCAAATTGAAAACAAATCCCTCATTTTTTATTGTATATAACATCTAGTAATTAACTTCCTATAATTGAAAGCTAAATCCCAAAATTATATTTTATTTATCTTAACCCCTTATTCAATACTTATTTCCTTCTTTGTGATTGATTTTGATCTATTCAAAATTGCATCTGATAAAAAATTGAAGTTTAAAAGATATATCCACCTACCCATGTCCGAAATTGGACTACTTTTAGACATGTCCCATATCCTACATTTTAGAAAATAAAATATCCAACACTTAGATACGTACTCGATACCTATACTACAGTCCGACCATCATCGTCAACAACCAAAGGTAACACAGATTATTCTTAATCATGGTCTTGGATATTCATAGATTGCTTACATTTGGTTGTAGAATTCAACTTCAAATAATATACTATCACGAACATCATGTAGCATAAAAGAACTGTATGTAAGGGGAAGTAAAAGGAAAACACATGATATCAACTAAGGAAACTTGATTGCAAGTAATTCGTGTTAGAAGTCACCTTATATTAGTATCATCACGCACTAACAGGCAAAAACTAAGAAGCATGCATTGAGATATGTAATTTGAATACGATATGAGACAGGTACACAAATAAAGCTTTTTAACAAAACTTAGGATAAGCGAATATGTGTGTGTGTGTGTGTGTGTACTATAAAAAATAAATAAAAAAATTAAAGCAGAAGCCTGACAATAAAAATAGAATAAAATACTAAAATATTTTACCTAATCCTTAACCCCACTTCATTTTCTTTAAAATCACCGCCATCAATTTCTTTAATATTATTAAAAATAACACTGTCCAACTCTAACTCATATAATGATAGATTAACAACCTCAAATAGCCCAATGCCTTCATGTACTCAAATAAGTTTGTGGCAATGTCCCACATTTGAATTCTCCTTTTGGATAAAAATTCAATTTTCTTAATAAAAAATGCAGATTTTTATGAATTAAAATCAATTCTTCAGCTCATTGTGGAGTTATTTTGTTCTTCTAGTTGAGTGCACAGAAGAGTAGGTGCTCCATGTTAATTAATAAGTATTAAGGATTCTCAATAAGTTATTGAAAACAACAATAGTTACCTATTAAGTCAAAAAAATGTCATCAATTGCCAATAATATAATAAGTTTTGACAGAGTTTTAAACCAATATAACTCTTCTTATTCATGTATCCTAAGGTGTTTGACATGTATCGAAAATATAACATAACTAAAAAACAAGTAACCGATATGTATCGAAGGGTGTCCAAGCGTATCGTATCAAATATGGGTATGCAATAAGTTTACATGTATTTGTGCTTCTTAGAGAAGAAGTAACAATATAGTTATCCAGGCTGAACCTGGAGCAAATTTATTGAACAAGGATTCAAAATCTCAAAACCAATTTTCCAATTGGATGACATTTCCAAAATTACAAAATTAGGTGTAAGCAGTCAAAAGGCCACAGGAAAACCCAAATCAAAGCCAGAGAAGTTCTATACTTAAGCAAATTAATGTCAATATTGATCAGTAGAGCTGGGTAATAATAAAAAATATCAATATGTGAATTTCAATACAACATGTACTTCAATATTATCTAAATCAGATTTACAGCTTTTAAAATTCAGAAACTTCGGAACTTAATTAATATGTTATTGTATCCTTATACTGACCTATTCGATGAACAAAGGAAAACATAAACTGAAGAAACGCATCCATGGTTCTCTCAGTAGTCAGTTCAATTCTGTTTCTAAATGTGTAGTCAGTTCAATTCTGTTTCTAAATGTGTGGAACCTAATCAGCCTTGAAAACGACTCAAAGTCAAAGTTTCTCAAAAAATTTACAGTTCAAAAACAATTTGAGAATGCATGACCAAGAAAGCTAATTCCACAGATAAAAAACCATTCCATCTGGTTTCATGTAGCAAAAAAGTATGATGCACCTTTCATTTCGGTTGAGACGGGCTCCAAGATAGAAAGCTACAGAGAGTAACCAACAATCACTGTGCACAGCAATTAGAGAAAGCCAATCTCTACGGGTCATTCCATCCCTAGCAAAATTGATCCCAAGTGCTGGCTCTGGAAGCTCAGGCGGAACTTCTTCAGCTGGTAAATTTACTTCCCAAGTTTCATTCGAGTGTCCATACAGACACAAGTTATCCTTTTCTGCAAAATTGGTAAGCCCAAAAGCAAAAAATGAATACCTACATAAACAAAAAACCAAAAATATGAACAGATGAAGGAAAATGAACCTGAAGACTGTATGCTGAAAAGAGATCTTAATAACGAAACAGACAGAGCTTCATTCCGACTACTTTTTATAGAACAAGAAGATCAACCAAAGTTTGAACTTTGTATTCATATTCCAATGCCCAATAAACTAACATACATAAGTTTAGCATAAACAATTGAAAAACAGAAAACTCATGTCCCACCTCAAGTAAAGAATAAAAAATAATAGTTACAATGGTCTGTTTTAGGTAAAACCATTTCCTCAGCAAACAATCCCAGCAGAGAATACTTGTTCCATTGAAAACAGATCGGTACAGAAAAGTTAAAATATAAATAAATATAAAAATTATTTCTTTGCAATTTTTTTTGCCGTAAAATTATATTTTCCAGGGCAGAATAAAAGCATAAATTTGCTCGAGCGTCAACAATAGTCCTATTCCAAAAGGAAACAAGGTTAAAGCTACAAGATTTCTATAACTAACTTTCAATATTAATCAAATAGCAGCTAATTTAACCTTCAAACTAACCAAAATCCATGATTAATCAAAAAACCCCAAATTCAAAATTTTCACTCTCTTAACAATCATAGTCGAACTCAAATGATCAAATCTGGTGTACATGAAACAATAAATTGACATGTGTTAAAAAAATTAATAAAATTAAATACCTGGATCACAGAGGCCGTAAAATTCATCCACATCTGTAAAAACCAAAAGAGAAAACAATATTCCACAGTGAATTAAATATTTACAAAAATTAATTTTCCATGTTCTTGTAAGTATGCATCGAATATACAAAGTACCATCAGTTAAAGCACGAACGATTCCACCACGACGAGCGCTGTAATCTTTGAAGATCTCCTCTACAGTTCGGGGGCTTGAAGAAACTGAAGCCATTTCAGTATATAAATTATGCGATCTAAAATCTATTCAGTGATTATCAACAGATTAATCCATAGATTGAAAGAATTGTATGAATTGGAAATGCTGAGAAAGAGGGTGAAGAATTGAGCGTTGAGAGTGCATGTAACGGGAGAATCCGAAGCCAGAGAGAAAATTGCAGTGCATTCTCAAGTTGTGGTACAATAGCAAGTTAGGTGTTCAGTTTTTGTCACTTGATAGATTGATCACTAAAATTTTAAATTTGTGATACTTTGGTCCTTATATGACACAAAATACATGTACAAAATTAATAGAGGTGCCTCGCTCTATCTTATCCAATCGGGCATTTCTCAAATTGAATTTTTCTTTTTCATTCTTCAACTCATTCGAGAATTGATGTAAACTACTTTGACTCTCTCTAGATCACTTGATAAATGGCATAATACCCTTAAAGTTTACATATCTTGTGCAATATCTCTGACCTTTTATTCTGGTGCTAATTCTTTATTCAAACTTCATGAAATACAAAATTATCATCTTTTTTCTCCATAATATGTTGTAAGATGACGAATTTATCATCCTCTTTAAATAAGCAAAAAATTATTTTAAAAAAAACTAAAATATTATTACAGTCAGAGTCCCAAAAATGCAAATGAATCACACTTAAAAATAATACATTTTAGAAAAAGAAAAAAGTTCATCTTCCCGCTGAATAAACTTTTGTGATGGGTAGTCTACCTTCTCTATATTTTTTTCTACCTTAGAATGGGATGACACTTAAGAGTGGGCATATTAATTCGATAATGTATAAGAAAAATTCACGTCTAGATTTAGGAAAAAGGAAATATTTTGTGATAGTCAGTCTTACATTTTCTATATTTTTTCTACGTTATAATGGGACGACACTCAAGAGCGGTTCTATATGGAAAGAATGGACTATAGGAAGATAAGTAAGAGAGATGGAGTTTGTTTTTCATTTTAAGATATTTATTTAAACTTTTTTTTAAGTGAAATTAGGGTATAATTGTCTTATTTCATAAAGAATGTACTTCCTAATCCTAAGACAAAAGAGAGAGAGAGAGAGAGAACGCCGTGTTACAAACTTTAAAAGTTAAATATCAATGTGCCAAGAAAACTCTAGTGAACCAATTTGCTCAAATTTAATAAGTTGTGGAGTTTAAATAAAATTAGAAATATAAAATAGCTCCTCTACTTGTTACTTTCTTGAATGAAGAAGTTTGACTTAAAATCATATACAAAACATTTGGGACAGAAGTATTATATTCAGTTGAATCTTACCTTTAGCAACTTATTGAATTTGCAAAATTTAGCTCGAGTATGACATATGAGTAATGCAGTTTAGCTTCGTTGGTCTTAAGCACGGTCTAACTATTTATTAAGTTTTCTTAAATGATTGATCATTATAAATGGAGAGAGATGAATTGCATAAAAAGAGTAACACTATTTATCTCTATAATCATGGAACAACGGTGATCTGACTATCTAGGTGAAGTATCTAATTAATATTATATTTTATTAAATAATTAAAAAAAATTGTTTTGGACCTTTCATCTTTCCAACATACCACATCCGAACAATGTGGATTATAAGATGTGAATTTTATGAAAACTAAAGCCCCGGTATGTACTATTCAGTATCTCTAATTGTTCCTGATTTCAGTATGAAAATAATGACCTAAATCCCAAAATATAAACACTGCCTATTTGTACTAAACACTATCAACAAGTATTATAAATAAACATTTAGTAAACACATGTATTTCTTCTAAATACATTTGAGCTCGGCTTCACATCTCTAAAAAAAATATTTTCGTCATTGTGTTTATATTACTAATTTGGTATTGTTAGTAATTAGTGTTTGCCTATTCTTAAGTTATAAAGAGTTCGAGATGCAAGCACCAAAAGTTGGAACACATTTTGATTCATTGGACGACCTTTATGAGTGCCATAAGGAATACAGGAAGCACGAAGGATTTGGAATTTTAAAGAAATAATTACGGACAGATGGTACTTTATGTAGGAATTTGTTCAAATAATTAACCAAAAATTGGAAAATAAAAAAGTGTAACTACGTGTCAAATTCGACCAAATATTCAGATTTGATCCGATCGTCAAATTACAAAAGTAAATAAACCAACTTACTCTACTCGTCGAGTATATCGTCGTGGTATATTTGGAATCTCGAAACCAATTTCGGATGAACGAGAAATTGCGGACCAAAGTTGGAAGAAATGAAGTGTTGCAACTTTTGGAAAGGATGCAGGTTTTAGCCAAGTGTTGCAACTTTTTAAAAGGATGCATGTTTTGGTCCACACTACTTCATTTGCACCCTTTCTACATCTATAAATAGAATCATATGAACATGATTTTGGGTACACCAATTGCATTGAGTATTCATTCTCCTCTTGCAATTCTCTCATTTCTAATTCCATAGCATTTTTATGCATTTCCTTGGTATAGAGGGAATTCCGTTTGAGTTCGCTGGTGGAAGTCATTTGAAGTGCTCCTATGGCTTGACGTGGTCGTTGTATCTTGGGAGATGATTGTCGAAAAATCGTTAGCACCGATACGGAGCAAATTCATCTTAAGGATCAAGTGTCAAACACTTGCCTCGACCAAAAATTCATCACTTGCATCTTTCTTCCTACAGTTTTTTGATTTCTTTTGATTTTATTTTGATTTCAGGAAATGATTAACATTATTTACGTGTTTATGTTGCAAGGTTCGATCAAAAGAATAATTTGCTTTCGTTCAAGAATCGAAAGGGATGAATCCTTATCCATGCATTCAGATTCGATAACTTTTATGTTTTGCTTCTCAAATACTATTTCGGTAAGTTGAAATTACGTTTCGATTTCAAGCAAATAATCGGTATGCTTTTGTGAATATAATATGCACGCAATCGGTGTAAATTTTCCCAACAATCTTAAGATGAATTTTGTGTTCGTTGTGAATGGTATAATCTGTTTCGAATCTGCCAACTATACTACTCACTAAAGGGAACAAATTGGGTTCTATTCAAAAACTGCAATTTAAAATTCTGCTATATTTGTATCATAAAATGGAAATAAAATTTGAACCGGTGCGTGCATGGAAACCCAATATTATGTGAAAATACGAATGTAGACGTTTGAAGATAACTGTAATTATAGAGTTTTCTTCATCTTTGCATATGCATTTTTCCTTAAGCATGTGTAGATTTTTGCGTGCATCTGGTAATATGTTTCATGAAAATATTCAAAAAGACAGATGGCATGTGTACTATAAATATTTGGAAAGACAAATGGCATGTGTGACTATAATTAAATGCATTTGTTGCTATAATTTGAACCAATGGATTTACGCTTGACATTTTGCCATACTTTGAACATTCTAATTTGTGAAATTTTTCTGCTAGCCTCGAAAAATATGATATTTCTGTATAATGTCCATCTTGGGAACTTGTGATTGGCCATTTTCTTCTAAGTGAGATTGCAATATCTCTTATGATATGGAAGTAAATATTCCTATAAATGGAATAAACTTGTACAATGGATGTATAAATGTTTGGAATAAAAGTTGCTATTCCTTCACATTGGTCATGATGAATTGGATATTGTTAAAAACAACTCGGGTCCAATAATGAATGGATGGAAATAAGGAAATTATTCCTAACATATAAGAATGCCAATTATTTGATGAAAGTATATGGTATGGTAAATTAGTTGGCTAAAATTTCATATCTTATTGAAATTATACTAACTTTGACTATGATGATAGCCTCAATTAATTTCATAAAATTAAGTGAGATGATTTAAGTGGATATCATTATTTAGTAATGAGAATTAAGTCACTTATCATTTGAAATTGTAGAAAAAATTTGCATGGAAATATGTGTTTTTTCATATGGAGAATCATGACTTTTGGTATGATTAATTTCCAATGGGTGTGTCTCTTTATAGAGATTAATTCAAAAGGTGAGTCATCTTGTAGGATTATGTCTTTTGAGAACATAACTTTTCAACCGATGGTTGAAATAAACTATTATGTGAAATGTCACAAATGTGATAAGTTGCATATGTTTGAAGAAGTTGCAATGTTTAGCCCATTTTATTGTTGAATTGACTTCAATCGTGAGACCAATTAAAATTGGTTTATACTTGGAAAGCATTGCTGGTCTATATGATGGCATTGATTTAATTTGGATGATCAAAATTAATTAGATTGAAGTATGTTATATGCAAGTTGACGACTACTACTTTGAAAGTACATAGACTTTCACGAAGCACTCGATACGAATATTATCTAAGAGATAAATAAATAGAACTATAAAAGAGTTGCTGAATTCTAAGTTCAAGTATAACCCAAAAATGTGGGGGGTTAAATTTAATGCTTGTGAACTTGAAATGGAAAGTTCAAAACTTGTGGATACAACGTTACTAGATTGCATATGTATTTCTAATTGAAGAATTGTGGGAGTAACTCAATTTAACAGTTACTTTTGTTTTTTTCTTATAATCATAGAAAGATATCCATGAAGGTGAAAAGATAGAAAACTCTTATACTAATTATAAGGATGATATACACTAAGTCTAAAGTGGATTAAATGGGTAGAAGCCGATTATAGCGTTTGTTTAGACATGCAAGAACAATTGGAATATTTGAAGAATATTCATATAATTCAAATGCATGGTAATGTTTCAATGATGATATTGAATATCCATGATTCTGAAATCCACTTGTAAACATGGTTGACTAGGGTAATAATTAGATAGAAATCCTCTAACAGTATTGTTTGAAAATTGATAAAGTTTTAGATAAAGCTAATGAGGCATGTAGTTTCATGAGAGGATTTATTGGTGGCGATAATTTGTATCTATCAAATGAATTGATCATTGGCTAGCTATATTTGATAAGATATAAGTCATATGTAATGATAGATCTAGACGTATAAGTCATAGACATAATATCACTAAGCAGTTGATCTCAATGGTGTAAACTCGTGGTACCTTTAAAAGAGATTTACTAAGAGAGATTAAGAAGACTGCATATCGAAGGGAATGAGGTAAAGCCTACTACGTTAGAGTCATTGTAATGATAACCCTACCTTGCTAACTAGAGATCCCAAGATCTTAGTTCAAAGGGACAACTAAGTTATGAGGATTCCACAAAACACTAAGGAAAAATAATTTCTTAACT